GAACATATGTATATTAGCACACGTCGATCATGGCAAAACAACGCTTGCCGACCATCTAATCGCCGCCTCGGGCGGCGGTTTGATACACCCCAAGATGGCGGGCCGCCTCCGTTTCATGGATTATCTCGACGAGGAGCAACGGCGGGCGATTACTATGAAGAGCTCGTCGATTGGTCTACGGTATAAGGACTACTCTATAAACCTTATTGATTCGCCAGGTCATATGGACTTTTGTAGTGAAGTTTCAACTGCTGCTAGACTGAGTGACGGGGCGTTAGTTTTAGTTGATGCTGTGGAGGGTGTGCACATTCAAACCCACGCTGTTTTGCGGCAAGCTTGGATTGAGAAACTGACGCCGTGTTTGGTTCTTAATAAGATTGATAGATTGATATGTGAGTTGAAGTTGAGTCCGATGGAAGCATACACTCGTTTGTTGAGGATTGTGCATGAGGTTAATGGGATTATGAGTGCGTACAAGTCCGAGAAGTATTTGTCAGATGTGGATTCAATACTCGCAGGTTCTTCGGGCGAGGTAAATGATGAGAACCTCGAGTATATTGAGGACGACGAGGAAGATACATTTCAACCACAGAAAGGGAATGTGGTGTTTGTGTGTGCGTTAGATGGATGGGGATTTGGCATTAATGAGTTTGCTGAGTTTTATGCTTCAAAGCTCGGGGCAAATGTGTCTGCGTTGAAGAAGGCCTTGTGGGGTCCTCGGTATTTTAACCCAAAGACCAAGATGATCGTTGGAAAGAAGGGCTTGGCTGGAGGAAGTAAAGCTCGGCCTATGTTTGTTCAATTTGTGCTTGAAAGAATATGGGAAGTTTACACGGCTGCTTTAGAAACTGATGGCGATAAGGAGGTGCTTCAAAAGGTTAATAGTACGTTTAATTTGAATATACCAGCTCGCGAACTTTCTAACAAGGATCCAAAGGTGGTTGTTCAAGCTGTTATGAGTCGTTGGCTTCCTCTTTCAGATGCAATATTGTCGATGGTTGTGAAGTGTATGCCTGACCCAATTGCTGCACAATCATTTCGAATACCACGGTTGCTCCCGGAGAGGGATATCATTGATACTGGGGTTGAGGTCAATGTGCTGACTGAGGCAGATCTTGTCAAGAAATCCATTGAAGCTTGTGATTCGAGGCCTGAAGCTCCATTTGTTGCTTTTGTGTCCAAGATGTTTGCAGTTCCAGTTAAAATGCTTCCACGGAGGGACAATCAGGGAGAGACTACAAACTTTTCAGCTGATGATGGTGGAGATGGGGAATCAGACGAATGTTTCCTTGCATTTGCAAGAATATTTAGTGGGGTTCTTTGTTCTGGACAGAGAGTTTTTGTACTTTCAGCTTTGTATGACCCAACAAAAGGGGAATCAATGCAAAAGCACATTCAGGAGGCTGAGCTGCATTCATTTTATCTAATGATGGGCCAAGGCTTGAAACCAGTGACCTCAGTAAAAGCAGGAAACCTTGTAGCAATTCGTGGCCTTAGCCATCATATACTGAAAAGTGCAACTCTTTCTTCCACAAGAAATTGCTGGCCCTTCTCAAGTATGGCATTCCAGGTTGCGCCAACTCTTAGAGTTGCACTTGAGCCTTCTGATCCTGGAGATATAGGTGCATTATTGAAAGGCTTGAGGCTTTTAAATCGTGCAGACCCTTTTGTAGAGGTAACTGTTTCAGCAAGGGGAGAACATGTACTTGCTGCAGCAGGAGAAGTTCATCTTGAGAGATGCATAAAGGATTTGAAAGAGAGGTTTGCCAGGGTAAGCTTGGAAGTCTCTCCACCTCTTGTATCGTATAAAGAGACAATTGAAGGAGTGGAATCTAGTGTGGTGGATTATTTTAGAGTGTTATCTGAAAGCACAGAATGTGTTACTAAAAAAACCCCAAATGGTAGATGTGTTGTCAGAGTGCAGGTATTGAAGCTTCCACCTGCTCTAACTAAAATACTTGATGAAAATTCTGATGTACTAGGAGATATTATTGGAGCCAAGTTGGGGCAGAGCTATAAAAACTTGGAAACAAAGAGATCAAGTTTGAGGGAAAATGAGAATCCAGCAGAAGCAGTAAAGAAACTCATAGAGGATGCAGCGTGTAACAATACATCTTTGAAGGATGACCATGATGGCAGTCGAGCTGACAAACATAAAGCACTGTGGTCAAAGCTTCTTAAGCGGATTTGGGCACTTGGACCACAACAGATTGGTCCTAACATTCTGCTTAACCCAGATCCAAAAGTAAAGGATTCTGATTGCTCTGTCCTTATTCGGGGTTCGCCTCATGCATCCCAGAGATTGGGTTTTGTGGGCAATTCTTCAAATGGTGACTTGGATGCTGAAACATCTTTGGTAGGTGATTTATCTTCTGTATCATCACCAGAAGGAACTCAGACACTATGCACGGAAGCAGCATCTCTCGAGAGCAGTGTTCTTTCTGGGTTTCAGCTGGCTACATCAGCTGGGCCCTTATGTGATGAACCGATGTGGGGGTTGGCATTTATTGTTGAGGCCTCTATTTCTTCTTTGTCCGGGAATTTAGATGAATCTGAAGCTCCCTTTCAACCAGAGAACAATGCTATCTTTTCTGGACAAGTTATGACAGCTGTAAAGGATGCCTGTAGAGCAGCAGTACTTCAGAAGAAACCACGACTTGTTGAAGCCATGTACTTCTGTGAATTGAACACTTCCACTGAGTATTTGGGTCCTATGTATGCTGTACTTGCTCGGAGGCGAGCTCGGGTTTTGAAAGAAGAAATGCAGGAAGGTTCACCTTTGTTTACTGTGCATGCATATGTGCCAGTTTCAGAAAGCTTTGGTTTTGCGGATGAGTTAAGGAGATGGACCTCTGGAGCAGCAAGTGCTCTTCTAGTGCTTAGCCATTGGGAAGAACTATGTGAAGATCCTTTTTTCGTCCCCAAGACAGAAGAAGAAATTGAAGAGTTTGGAGATGGTTCTAGCGTGCTGCCCAACACAGCTAGAAAGCTTATTGATACTGTAAGACGGCGTAAGGGTCTTCCAGTGGAAGAAAAAGTTGTGCAGCATGCAACAAAGCAGAGAACACTGGCTCGGAAAGTATAGAGATAGAACACCTGATGATTTGTAATACTGTAAGGCAATACATCCTTAGATTCTTGTTCAAACCTTCTGTGTCTCTCTTTCTCTTTCTTTTACTTTCTTTTTGGGTCCCTGTAGGGGGCGAGGGAACATAGTAGGTAATACTTGTTGATTGTAAAATGATGGTTGGAGCACTTCTAACTTTCAATTCTTTTCAATTGATAAAGTTTTGATCAATTTTGGAACGCATCTAACTTTCCATTCTATAAAAAACAAACTTCTCATGGAGCTTTCAACAAAAGAAAAAAGTCGAAGGAACTCCCAAAAGGGAGTGAACATATCTATTTATAACTTCTATAAGAAACAAACTTTTTGTCAGCTATGAAAAAGTACAAAAGAAATAAGATAAGTTTGATTTCACTATAGACCAGGGGATTTTATTAACTCCATTTGGCATCTATCAAGAAGATCCTATACTTCTTCACCCAAAAATTTCCTTACCCCTGCTTTGGATTACAATGGTCCACATAATCTTTTTACTTTCTTTTTTACCACTGACCATGCAAAAGCTGCTCTAAGCTGCCTTGAATCCTCTGTGACAAAGACAAACCACTGCAAATCAAAGGAGCCAAATAAATTCTCCCAGTTAGGCAAGGATGGCCAATAAAGAAAATGATCCAGTTCTTTGTGATAAACACTCAATTCTCTGATTTGGAGAAAAACTTGCTCGAGAAAGGCCTGGTCTCTCCAAATTCCATTTACTTGCATCCATAAATTTCAACGGTAGCCATAAGGGATGCCTAGGCTTTGACTTTCTGATTGACTACTACTGCTTACATGAGAGATTTTCGGTCACCTTCAATCCCAATTCAACGTACTCCATCGGCATGCGACCTCGCACTCCCAGATTTAGCTTGGGAAATAATTTTTGGAGATTGCAACCTGAGATATGGCCATATGAGTCTTCCTGGAGCTTGAAGCACAACATCCTTACCAGCTTGAAAGGTAATATTTGTTCTTATGTTTTTTGCTTGCTTAGTATGGGGCAGTGTTTTCGAGGCGCACCCGGGCGCTCGCCTCAGGCGAGGGGCGAGGCGTTTTCGCCCAGGTGCGCCTCGCAAGGTGCCCAGGCGAGCGCCTTCAATCGGGCGCTCGCCTTTGGGCGCCTTGGCGCGCCTGTCGCCTGAGGCAAGGCGATCGCCTCCTTCAAGGAGGCGATCGTCTTATTATTATTATTATTTTTTTAAATTTTTAAAGGGTTTTAGTTTTTAAAAACCCTTCCCTTCCTCTCGACAACGAAACCCATCTGCCTCCCTCTCCACGTTCATCTTCAACCTGCCCTTCACC